GCCACGGTCCTCCCCGCGGGGTCCCTTCCCCTCCCGCTGCGCCCCTCGGAGCCGCCCTGTTTCCCAGCTCTGTGGGCAGCGCCCCTGAGAACACCACCAGGCAGACCCGGGTGTGCAAGGGGCCCCCGCTGGTGCTGGCGCATGGTTCCCATGGCAACTGGCTGGGACCCGCTCCGGGGGACCCCCGCCCCTCCGCGCGCCTTTGGGAGAAGCTCCCTGAGAGCCAGGCTTGGGGCCCAGGAGGTCGGCTCCGCTGGCTGCAGTGGGAGGGACGGGAGCCCGCGCCTTACTCCTCGCCAAGCCGGGCTTTGGAAGAGACCTGAGCTGCACCTGAAAGAAGGGAATGGAAGGGAATGCGGGGCACGAGGCTGGGACAGGAGTAGATCTAATCAGCACATCTGGGATGGGGGGACCCCTTCCAGGGCCCCGAACTCCCTCAGCCGCCTTCTCCGCAGCCCTGGCCCGGTTCCGGTGTACCCGCTGGAAAGTCGCTGGGCTTTTCCGGGCTGGGGAGGCTGGAGGCGGGCCTTACAGGCCCTCTCCCGGGTGCAGGCCTCCACCCTCAGGGACCCGAGGGAGGGAGGCATAAGGCTCGCGGACCCCACAGGGTACAGGATAAACTCCCTGTGCCCACAGGCCGTGCCCGCCCAGTGCCCACGCTCAAGCACATGCGTTCTTGCCCTGGAGCCGTTGGGCGGTGACCTCAGGTGACAACGTCCTCACCCTCCCCCGACTTTAAAATAAACCAGGCTCCTCAGCCACTCCTGCTTCCAGAGTCAAAAATAAGTGTGGAGCGAGGGTGGGGCAGAGGGCGGGTGGGGCCACACACCAGAGGGCACACAGGCACCCCCAGGGCAGACCCCTGGAGCCCGTACACCTGCCTTGGCCAGGGCCTTTCCTGGGGTGGGGGGTGGGGGTCCACCTGGCTCCAGACACCAGGATGGCCTGCTGCGTCCCTGCACCTGTCAGGGCCAGCTGTCCCTGCCGGATCCCGAAACTCTCCCGGGAACCAGGCTGCAGGCTATCTTTAGTGCTGTGCTCAGACCCTGGCCGGCCCAGGAGCGCCCTCGGGGGCTCTGCTGGCCCACTGCCTCCCCTGCTGGGCCTGTGAGCACAGAATTCACATGTCTCCCCCTGGGTGTGGCCCTCCCCACTCCTGCAGCCGGGCCTGGGGTCCCTCCAGGCCCAGCCGACCTCACCCAGCTGGGGACGGTGGAGCCCCTGTTTGAGGTGCAGCCCAGGCCCACGTCTCCCACATCCTCTGGAGTTCTCTGGGCAGCGCCCCTGAGAGCCCCCCAATCCTTGCAGGTGGGTCACGCCTCCCCTGGCTCCTCAGGGTGCCTGTGGTCCCAGCTTCGCTCCGTGTGCCCTGCTACAGCTGCAGTGGAGGCAAGGGTTCAGAGAGGTGCCCCCAGGAACACCCACTCAGCTACTGTGGCTGCACAGACTCCCCATAATGCCCTCATCCCTGCACACCCCGGGCTGCAACTGCTGACCCCGCTGGGCACCAGGACATCAGCCTCTGACTGGGTGCTAACGGGCACCCATGGGCCCTGGCATGTGGGAAGACCAGGCTAAGTGCTGGCCCAGGCTGCCCACCCAGCCCCCATCTCCTCTGTGAACCCAAGGTGGGGACGGCAACGCCAGGGTTAGGGACCTGCGACCTGTTTGCCTCTAAGGCAGGGAAGTGAGGGCACACGAACTATTTGTGGGGATGCTTGGTAACTGGCCACTGGGTACATGTGCAAATCTGGAAAAAGCACCCTTTTTTCTGGCTTGCAGTACCC